CATCTGGCTTTGGCTCACATCATGATCTCGCGGTTCGTGGGTTCAAGCCCCGTGTCAGGCTCTGTGCTGACGGCTAGCTCAGAGCCTGGAGCCTGTTTCGGATTCTGTGTCTCCCTCTCTCTCTGACCCTCCCCTGCTCATGCTATCTCTCTCTCTCTCAGAAATAAATAAAACATTAAAAAAAAAAAAAAGATGAGATCTTACCATGTGCAACAACATGGGCAGACCTAAAGGGCATTATGCTAAGTGAAATGAGTCAGACAGAGAAAGACAAGTACCATTATGATTTCACCTATATATATAAAATCTAAAAAATATGACAAATAAACAAACAAAAGTAGAAGCAGACCCATAAATGAACAGAATAAACTGTTGGTTGCCAGAGGAGGGGGGGCTAGGTGTATGGGCAAAATGGGTGAATGGGAGTGGGAGATACAGGCTTCCAGTTATGGAATGAGTAAGTCATGGGGATAAGAGCACAGGGAATATAGTCATATACATATAATATACATACCACATATACTTGTGGTAAGCATAGCATAATGTATAAACTTGTGAAATCACTATGTTGAACACCTGAAACTAATGTACCATGTGTGTCAACTATACTTCAATTTAAAAAGGGGTATGTGTATGTGTATGTATTTGTATTTATGAATAAGACATTTATTCAAAACAGTGATTGACCTTGGAGTATAAGACTAAACAACTGGAATGGGTGGGAGGGTCACATTTTTCTCTGAACAATTTGAATTTGTCACATGCATGTATTACATTTTCAATAGAAAAGTGATTTTTTTACTGTTTATTTCTTTTGAGAGAGAGTGAGCGGGGGAGGGGGAGGAGCAGAGAGGGAGGGTAAGAGAGAATCCCAAGCAGGCTCCATGCTGTCAGCACAGAGCCTGACACGGGACTCAACCCATGAACCGTGAGTGAGATCATGACCTGGGCTGAAATCAAGAGTCGAACACCTAACCAACCGAGCCACCCAGGTGCCCCGAAAAGTGAATTTAAGTTCCCTGATAAGAGAATAAGAGAAAAACACCTCCAAGGTATGATTTCCTCAGCTTCTCCTATCCAAATCGTCTCCATTCTACAATTCCAAGCTCAAGTCCCATTTCATCCAGGAAATCTTTCCTGAGCACACCAGCTTAATCTACTGGTCTCCATCTCCTCTGAACTCCTATGACATTTATACTTTAGTGGTGCCTGACACACTATTGTTTTATGCATCATGTTAGTCTTCCTACTTAACTAAACTATAATTTAATTGAAATCAGGAGCTGTGACTACTTCTGCATCTCCCTAAATGCAGACTATGCAAGTTACTCAGTAAATACTCACTTGATTAATAGAGGCCCTATGTGTCTGTTTACCCTCTCCTTGTCTAGAAAGTACAGCAGAAATAGCAATCACATTAAGTTGGCTTACCATAGCTTGCTCCTTCATATAGATCAGCTTATTCCCACATCTTAATCATTGGTAATTTTCCCAAGGCTTTAATGGTAATATGAACTACCAACAAACAAAAAGCTCTGATCCTCACTCCTGTCTACAAGTTCTAAATAGAAAAATAGAAATGGCCAACCACATGTATTAATGCTGACTATATTTCCTACCAGCCAACTTGTATCAGCAGATGGAAATAAAAGGAACTAGTTTCTCTCCTGAACTATGACCTGAAGCTCCACAACTGCCTCAGGGCAGGAAAAGAACATCTCCGAGCTATGCTAGAACTTCACACAGTCTACATGATGAGACTACATCATGCTTTGTAGTCCTCATGTCTGGAAACTGTCTTTCCAGGATCCAGTTCTAAGTATAGGTCATCAAAAGCTAAATAACTAACCAACTTACACTAGTCACAATTCTACCTACGATCGAGGTCCAAGGAATGTCAGTGAGTTGAAGGAGAGTGAGATACAGGTCATGTTTTATTACAACCTATTCTTAAGGAGAATAAATTAAAAAACTGGAAACAATGGTGTCTTTGGAAAAGGTAACTTCTAGAGGGCAAAGGGTGGAAGACTTCGTTTTTACAGTACATCTTTTTTTGTATCTTTTGAATTTTGTACCATGTGCACATTTTAACCATTCCAAAGAAACCATTATAAAGAAAATACTCAGAATCCTGCAAGAACTATGTATGGGCATCAAATCATCACATTGTACACCTTAAACTTACACAATATTATATGTCAATAACATCTCAACAAAGATGGGGAGAAAAATAATCCTGCAAGAAAAAAAGAAGTACTTTGGTATCACGTAGTTCTAGGTCTCCACCAGAATTCATTACACATACTGTGTGATCCCGAAAGAGAAGAACCTTAACAAGTAGGCTTTTACAGAAGGTAACAGAGAGACCAAAGCAGGGGGGGTGGAATGCTGAGTAGATTCTTCCAAAGCATAGTGAAACCATCCACTGCCATTTTGTGGACTTCCTCTTTTGACTCACAAAACTCCTATTCTTCCCCTCCCCCCACAGGATGGTGACAATAATGACCTTTCATCTTCGCACCTAGCCATGTAAGGAAGGGGCTAGTATGTACTAAGACGGTCTCCCAGCTCCAATCTACAGATCATTTGAAGAAGACAGGATTGTGTAGTACAGGATATACAGAGTCTTTGGCTCTGATCGACACAAAGTCACGGGAAAGGAGAGAAAGAAACAAAGTTCAAGTCCACAGGACAACTGACATTTGAAAAGTTCCATACACATTATGAGAAGTCACCAGGACACCTCTCTCCAGACTCCTGATTTCTTGGAAGGGTGGGAGGGGGAAATTCTTTCCTGAGCAAAATAAGAGAACAGCTTCAGAAATATTTAGCTATTATATAAAGAAGAAAGTCAGTGCCATCTGCTTCCACCATACACAATGTTCAATTACCAAAGCACAGTCTCTGAGTCTCATACTCCCTAAAATTCCTACCATGATCAATCACCTAATATAGCAATTAAAAACTAAATGATTTTACCAACTTCTCCCCTACAGAGTTGAATTAAAATATTAAAAGTCTAGCTAGCCATACAAATTAATATAAACAATACAAATTAACTCAAAATCCACACAACTAGGAACTGCCATCAAACCTATCATCACTGTACAATTAGAAATTGTGAAAAGGTCAGATGAAAAGCTTGGTGGGTAAAAAAAAATTTGTGCACTACAGTTTTGCAACTAAGCATTCCCAAAGAGGCTGAAGGGTAATGCAAAGAGTATGATGAGCTTTGGAGTCAGACAGATCTGGGTTCAAATATCAGCCTTGCCACTTATTAGCTATGTGTACTTGGGCAAGTTACTTAAATTGCATTTCTCCTCAGCTTCCTATCTGTATAATGTTGTTGTTGTAAGGATTTAGAAACTAAACCCTAATTCAGTGCCTGGCACATAGTAGGCACTAAATGAACAGTCTCTGTTGCTATTAGAATGCCTTAAAAAGAGAGCTGTTTCATTCATAATCCCTAAGGCTCTTGGGTAATGGATAGAAACGTTGCCTCTAAAACCCCACAGCAGAGAATCCTCACACTGAACAAGTTATGCCCAGGCTGGCTTCTTCAGGTAATTAAGTTCTTTATCACTAACAGTTCCCAACTTTATATCATATTTTGAGGGATCTAACTTCCATTCCTCCCCAAAAAGGTGTTTCTTATATAAACGAGGTTTTCTCAATTTTTGCTTCGATTTTCTTTCTTCAGTTTGGACTTTGCCAAACTTGGAATGTGGAGATCGCCATTTCTCAATTAAATTTCAAAGCCCAGGTAGGAGACACTCTCTCTCATTCAATTCATTCACTCAGTCAAAAATGAAAGCACATACACTCTTTTATAGGTCTTCAGATGCTGTTTGAGCACCATGCTGTCCATAGAGAATATTCTGGCCCTCTAGTCTGAGAAAAAAAACATAAGGAAAATTAGAAAATGGTTCCCTAACTTTTCTGCCTGTAACCACTTCAGCTGGGCTAAAGAACCTGCAAACCACTACTTTATCTGCACATTCCATCCTTGCAATGTGGACTAAGAACTAGAGAATAAAGTCCTCTGTAGTGCACATTGGAAGAAGCCACTCCTGGGGCAGTCCTGAAATATCATACATTAAAGTAACTGCAGACAACAGTTACTTAATCCAAAAAGTTAATCTAGAACAGAAAGGGCAAATGGTCATTTGTATACAGAGAGCCCAAATGGGAGCCAATACTTCAAATCTAAAGGAGCAGCACAGAATGCTTTGAGTACCGATTGACAATCCACCAATCCCAGTGCAAGGCCAGGTTTCACCATGAGACACAGCAGGTGGTAGCTGAAAAAACTCAAACAGAAAACATTTCTCTCCTTCAGATGCTAATTCTATACAAGTCTGGGAAGCACACGGCGTCAATTACTTCTGCTCTACCAAGCCCACTGTCTCCCTTTCCTGGGGTCTCCCTTCCTTTTAAAGCAGGCTTTGCTTAACTCTTATCATCCCAGGGAGACTTCTTGAGGAAGAGATCGGGGTTTCCTGCCCTCCCTCTTCGGACTGACTTCCCACAACCTAGTTTACTTATGGGACCCAGCGATATATCACCTTGGCTTTCCATCCCCCAGCCCTCTGCCACTCTTCCTTCCCTTCTTCTGTCGCTACACTCGGGGTTCGTATTCCCTTGAATTCCTCACTCTAATCTTCTCCATCCTCCCCACCCTATCCAGCCAGGCTTCACTTCTTGCTCATAGGTACTTATTTTCCCTCACCCAAGTCCGATGTCCCCCTCTGGACTTTTCTGTATCCTAGGGCCATAACCGAGTCTGGAGACCTCTCTCCAGACCCATGAAACCCCCAACCTCCAAATGACCCCTTTCAGCGCCTTCTGGCAGCCCCACCCGCCCACCCCGCCCAGCCGCCCGGTCCTCCCTCAGCTGTCTCCCTCACCCTGTGACTCACCCGCATGCGAACCTCATAGGTGGTGAAGCGCGCGCGGCCCACGCCCACCGTCTGTGGATTAAAGATGTCGATCTCCAGGAAGTTACTTGGCGGCCCGTAAGCGTCGGTCAGGTCCTGCGGCTTCGAGTTAAGGCGCCGAGTGTCAGCCACTGCCGTGTCCGACATGTTTCCGAAGGAGAGACCGGGACCGGGTAAGGGGGTGGGGGACAGAGGCGGGAGGCAGGAACGCGCACAGCCCCTCCCGCTTGCAAAATAACCAGCCAACCCACAGACAGCGGCGCCGCGCACGCGCGCCCACGCACGCACGCACGCACGCGCACGTTGCCTTGGCCCCGGGCCCGGCACCCTGAATACTGGCCGTGCTGAGGGCTGTGAGCCCCGTGCTTTGGAGGCCTCATTCAGGCTTCCGGGCGGTGTTTGTGGCCGCCCCGGAACCGGCATCTCGGATACGCAGCGCCCGATATCCTGGGAAGCATTACAGGCGGGATCCGCCAATCGCTGCTCCTCAACCCAAGAAATTGTCTTCTACCCAGTATCTATCGGGCAGCGCGCACTGCATCGCAAACTGGGACCTTGCAGTGATAGGCCAAAGCCCTGTGACCTGAATAAGTCAGGGTTTTGCGCGAAAATAGAAGGGTGTTCTCCAGAGGGTGGGGTTCCAACAATAACACTAAGAACTTAAAACGCAGCCCTGCCACTTGTGCCACTGACGGTTTCGATTCATTCTAGCTGCAGTGGAGCACTCGGCAGAATGGTGCCAGGGCAGCAGCGGGGATGGGGTAAACATGATTGCTCATTCTCACTGTCCAGGAAAATCGGGGCATAGCTTCGTCCTCCACGTGTTACCACAGAAAGCTAAGCCCAGGTGTACTCAGATAGTATGTTTCTCAGCAAATTGAAGGCACTTATTTCATACGTTCTGTCTCTACTCTGCACAACTCCATACTTGGCACTGCTCCGAGGTTGCTTGCAGCCCATAATGGAGAATGAATACGTGTCTAGATGAGAAAATGTCTATAGACATGTTGATATTTTTAGACATTGATATTCATACGACTAATTTATAGATGGTGCACATGAAGGGGTGGTGCCCCACATTAAGAGTGGTGATTTTAGGTCATCCTTTCTCCTCCCTGCACCTGCCTCTTCTGCCCTTTCCCATACCACTGATGCCTGAAATCCTTTCACAGTTAAGTTATTTAATTCAATTTAACCGGCATCTACTAAGTAACTACTTATGTGTCAGGCACCATGCTAAACATTAAAGACCTAGAGTTGAATAAGAGAGCCCCTGCCCTCAAAGAGTTAACATTCTAGAAAGGGAGACAAGAAAATAAAAGTAATGACGAATACAAAATAAGTGAATGTTCAAAGCAGCACATGGGACGTGAATAAATGGAGGAATTAGGGAAGGCCTCCTGGAGGAAGAAACATCTGAGTTTGACAGACATGAAAAGACATAAAGACAAATAGGAATGGAAGTGGGGAAAGGCAATTTCTTGCAGAGGGAATAGCATATGCAAAGTCATCCGGATAAGAAACAGCATATTTTTAGGCAATTGTCACCAATTCAGATCCCATAAAGGAAGTGCTTAGAGAGGTAGGCTGGCTGGGGACAGGCAATGAGGGTGATCCTTTATGAAGCAAAGGATCGCTCGCTTTACAAAGTAAGTGATAGGGAGCCACTGAAGGATTTTCAACAGGAAAAAAAGACACGATTATATTTGTGGTTTAAGAAGGATTATTTTTTAGGCAACATGGAAGATGTATTTGAATTCAATGAGACCGATGATGAGAGTATTGACAATTAGACTTGGAACCAGGTGGTGATGGTGGGAACGGAGAGAGGGAAAGAGATAGGACTGAGATTGGGGAAATAGGTAAAACGTGTACCTGATGAAATATGGTGGTAGTATAGTATAGGGGTTAAGTGTGTGAGCTATGGACTTTAAACTGCCTGGGTTTAAATCCCTGATTCCTAGCTGTATAGCCTTGAGGAAGTTATCCAGTTTTCCTCACCTGTGAATGGAAATTATAAGACTAAAAGCCACCTCCGGGGCTTTCAGGAGAATTAAATGAAACAAAATATGTGTGAATAGTAAGTATTCAGTAACTATTAGCTATTATTACTATTCACAGGGAGAGGGAATAAATTGAAAATAACTCCGATTTAGGTAACGAGATGGATGTTGGCACCACCAATCAAAATTGGAATTAGAGAAAGAAGAGTAAGTTTGGGAGGGAAGAACATAAGTTCAGACTAGGAAATCTGGGATGTCTACTGAACATCCAGGTGGAGATGTCCAGCTAGAAATACTGGCCTAAACTCAAGGGTGTGATCAGGGTTAGAGATAGAGATTTGCGAGATATTAGCATACAGTGCAGAAAGAAAAATGTGAAGAGGCAAGGACGGGAAGTTTAAAAATTGGTGAAAGCAGGCAATGTTGATGAGAGTATAAATCCTTGCAATTTTTTCTGGGAGGCAAATTGGCACTATTTATTAAAAAAAACTTTGACCTCAATAAACTTGTAATACTGGTTTGTCTCCGGAGAATAGGAATCAGGGATGGCAGGGAGACTTGGTTTTTCATTTTCATTGCATTTATGTTTTAAGTACTTTTGTATTAAAAAACTTTTTTAAAGTTTTATTTTGAGAGAGAGACAGCATGAGTGGGGTATGGGCAGAGAGAGAGAGGGAGAGACAGAATCTCAAGCAGGCTACAAGCTGCCAGCACAAAGCCTGATGTGGGGCTCAAACCCGTGAAGTCATGAGATCATGACCCAAGCCGAAACCTAGAGTCAGACGCTTAACTGACTGAGCTACCCAGGCATCCCTGTATTAAAAAAAAAAAATTGGGGGGATGCCCGGGTAGCGCAGTCAGGTAAGTGTCCGACTCCTGATCTCAGCTGGGTCATGATCTCGCAATTCGTGATTTCGAGACGCACATCAGGTTCTGCACTTATGGCATGCAGCCTGCTTGGGATACGGTCTCTCCTTCTTTCTGCCCCTCCCCTGCTTTTGCTGTCTCTCTCTCAAAATGAATAAGTAAACTTAAAATTTTTTTGAAGTTTTAATGTTATTTACTGAAATTGTTGACTCAGAAATTTCACTTCCAATAATTTATCCTGAGAAAATAATCAGTCACATAAAGATATCAGCGCACGGAGCTTGTCTTTAAGAGTACATAATTATTCATTTTATGCAATGAAATGTTTTTGTAGCCATTTTTTTCTAACTTGAAAATTTGTTTATATGGCAAGTCTCAAATAGTAGTGGGTCCGATAATTTACAGACTTCATATCTCAGTCACTTCCATGAAAAAACACAGTCTTTTGTGTAAATGGCCAAATTCAGTGTTTCTTATGTCCACTTATAATTTCTCTTCTTTAAGTTTTTTCTTTATTTATTTAAGTAATCTCTACACCCAGCGTGGGGCTCGAACTCATGGCCCTAAGATCAAGAGTTGCATGCTCTTCGGACTGACCCAGTCAGGCTCCCCTCTTTTGTATCCACTTAAAACAATGTTCTATAATCACTGAGATGGAATGATGCCCACGAAAAAACAAAGAAGAAAAAACCTGGTAGATCATATCACAATGTGATGCCATTTGTATTAGTGGATTGGAGATATATATACTAATTTTTAACAACTGGAAGGATATAAATCAAAACCTTAATAGTGATTACTTCTGTGTGGTGCAGTTTCCATTGGAATATATGTTTTTATTTATAATTTCTTTTTAAATTTTTTAACATTTAATTTTTTTCTTTCTTTTTTTTATAACAGTATATTGTCAAGTTGGTTTCCATATAACACCCAGTGCTCAGCCCAACAAGTGCCCTCCTCTGTGCCCATCACCCCCCTTCCCCTCTCCCCCAACCCCATCTGCCCTCAGTTTGTTCTCAGCATTCAAGAGTCTCTCATGGTTTGCATCCCTCCCTCTCCCCAACTATTTTTCCCCTTCTTCTCCCCCATTGTCCTCTGTTAAATTCCTCCTAATCCACCTATACGTGCAAACATATGGTATATGTTCTTCTCTGCCTGACTTATTTCGCTCAGCATAACACCCTCAAGGTCCATGTTGCGACACATGGCCAGATTTCATTCTTTCTCATTGCCATGTAGTATTCCATGGTATAGATACACCACATCTTCTTGATCCATTTGTCTGTTGATGGACACTTAGGCTCTTTCCATGTTTTGGCTATTGTTGAGTGCTACTATGAACATTGGGGTATATGTGCCCCTATGCATCAGCACTCCTGTATCCCTTGGGTAAATTCCTAGCATAGGGTCATAGGGGAGTTCTATTGTTAATTTTTTGAGGAACCTCCACACTGTTTCCAGAGGGGCTGCACCAGTTTACATTCCCACCAACAGGGTAGAAGGGTGTCCGTTTCTCCACATCCTCGCCAGCATCTAGAGTCCTCTGATTTGCTCATTTTAGCCAATCTGACTGGCGTGAGGTGGTATCTCAGTGTGGTTTTGATTTGTATTTCCCCAGGGGCGCCTGGGTGGCTTAGTCGGTTAAGCGTCCGACTTTCGCTTAGGTCATGATCTCATGGTTCGTGGGTTCGAGCCCCGCGTCGGGCTCTGTGCTCAATGCCAGCTCAGAGCCTGGAGCCTGTTTCAGTCTGTGACTCCCTCTCTTGCTGACCCTCCCCTGCTCACGCTGTCTCTCTCTCTCTCTCTCTATCTCCTAGAAATAAATAAAACATTAAAAAAAAAAGAATGATTTGTATTTCCCTGATGATGCGGGACGCTGAGCATCGTTTCATGTGTCTGCTGGCCATCTGGATGTCCTCTTTGGAGAAGTGTCTGCTCACATCTGCCCATTTCTTCACTGGATTATTTGTTTTTTGGGTATGGAGTTTGGTGACTTCCTTATAGATTTTGGATACTAGCCCTTTATCTGATATGTCATTTGCAAATATCTTTTCTCATTCCATCAGTTACCAATTAGTTTTATGGATTGTTTCCTTGCCGTGCAGAAGCTTTTTATCTTGATGAGGTCCCAATAGTTCATTTTTGCTCTTGATTCCCTTGCCTTTCGGGATGTGTCAAGTAAGAAATTGCTGCGGTTGAGGTCGAGGAGGTTGTTTCCTGCTTTCTCCTCTAGGGATTTGATGGTTTCCTGTCTCACATTCAGGTCCTTTATCCATTTTGAGGGTTTTTAAATTATTTTTTAT